AAGACCCCGGTACTGGTGGCACAGCTCCCTCCACAACCCACTCGTTAAACTTTGTGTCATTGTATGGTAATGCCCTAAAATCAACTAAAGTGGTCAAGATAAATGTGGAATAACACTACAAAAAGCACATGTACTTTCCAAGGTTTGCTCCAAGTAACTAGATTCCACGAAAATAAGAAGCTAGCATATTCAGAAAGCCTTTGACTTGCGAAACTTATCCACAACTGACGCAAAACTAAGGTTACGTAAGCACAAGAGATTGCTCTGATGATCAGGTATTCTGGAGAGGTCTTTCAAAGCATTTTGACAATCTCTGTCATCTGGCTCCTTCCCAAATGGATTGAGACCGAGGAACTGCTATCGTGCTACTGTCTTTTCACCGGATTGTTACTGGTTGATCGAGGAAGGCTGCCTTCTAGTCTAGGAAGGTGATGGCACAAGTGGAGTGAAAAGCTTTGAGTGGCCTGTTCCTCCACTGTCATTCTTGGAATTTCCTCGATCTTCTCTTCGACAGGTGGCTCCGCAGCTCCAGTGACTCCTTCCGAAACTGGTTCTTATGTAGCCCTTCCTTTCTTTTCTATCTAATATAATATCTCTTTCAACAAGACTGAACTACGTGAGAGCTAAAAGCTTGTCGAACTAAGTCTGTCTTTCTCGTAATTAGGGCTTAAGCTTGCTCTCACTTATTCTTGGCTTGGATCTAGATAATGGATGTGGCAACAAGTCAAAGAGCTGAGTCGTCAAAAACACTGCAGCTATAATACATATACTTTATACGTCTTTCTTTGATCCTTGCTCTGATCGACTTGCCTGTAAGCTACGTTGGCCTGTTCCTCGAGTGTGGGTATTCAGTATTTGGATCTGTCGATGGAGTCAATGACCCGAAACTAGTTAAATTATATCATATGAACAAATTATTGACAATATTATCGAAAACATCTGATGATTTATGCAAGCAAATATGTTAAGTCAACTATTTATGGAAATTGTGGGTATTTGAAGTATTTAATGAAAAAAATGAATGATGGTGCTTACCCAAATTGCATCAGAGCGAGCATAATATGGCAAATTAGATAGCGTAGTTTTGTCAATATCAAAGATCCAAATATCCTTCCCATCACCAACAAGTGTGAGGCTCTTGGCATATTCAATCGTGTTGTTTGCCACAATTTTGAAATCTTTACGATATTGTTTGCCTAGCATGTAATGGCCAACATATTGTTCACACTCCTCAGGCACCAGTTTCCAATTGCGAACGTTGTTTGTTTCCACAGCTAGATGCCAGCTGAGGCAGTCAACATCCTTAAGCCGATAGCCTACCGCACTTTACCACGGCCGGAGGAGATGGATTTGTTGGGTCACTTGCTCTATATAGCCATCTACACGACTAATCGCAAAAACAGTTGCAAAAAACAGAAGTAATGCAGCCAACCTCATCTTTGAAGGTTGTAGGAAGTCTTGACATGAAATCTAATGAAATTTGGTTGTTTATATAAAGATTAGCCACCAAAATGAACCTTTGTTGTGCAGAAAATTACAGATGGTATCCTTGGAGTGTCACCAAAAATTTTATTTATATATTATGTGTGTCTTTCACCCTAATTAACTTATAGATATCAAGATGTGTCTACTGTCTAGCAAGTAAAATACTCAGTCCAGAAATAAAATATATTATCGAATATCAATGAACCATCTTTTCGTTGTTGAGTCCTAGACTATTTGGGCATATTTATTAAATATAAAAAATATAAAAAAACACTACAAGATTGCTTTTCAAGCTGTGTGTCAAAAGGCATTGTTACATAAAAGACTTCATCCAAGCAAAAGTCGTGTAGTGAGTTTAACCGTCTTTATGGTCGGCCATGCTAGGTTCGACTATAGGCATAGATGGATCCACATGGGGTCACGTGGGGTCAAATGTGGGGTCAATTGACCCCACAATTTTTTATTTTTTTATTTTTAAATCTGTAAATTATTCAAACTTGTTGCTAATTTTTTTTTAATATGTAATTTAACCACAACTTTGCCCATTGACAAGCCCAATTGCCCATTACCAAAACTTTGCTTTTCATCATGTTATGCATTGAAAAACTCGGCCGACCTACTGGGGCCCATGGCCCACTTCTGTCGAACCACATGGCATCTTAACCGAGGCCCCCATCCCAACAAGAGCACCAGCATCTTATAACAACATCAGACGTGGTCTAAGTGCTGTCATCGAAGCTAATACACCAAGGAGATCTCGTAGCCGAGGCTCTTCTCTCCGAGGTCCCGAGGCTCTAAGCAGCACTGCTCCCCAGAGATCCGATTTTACACAAAGATCTTTCCTGAGTGATTGATGGGACACCCATCATAGAGTACAAGTGCTTTGTCTTGTCAAAGTAGTGGCAGAGCCGCCAATTAATTAATGTGTAGCAAGCTAGGAAGTCAAATGTAACACCTATAGTTGGACATGTAAACTTAAGAGATGAGGCCACGTGTACTCCCAACCAAGGGTCACGATCTAAGTTGTAATACTATAAATACTCCCCATATATCTCACAAGAGTAATGCAAAATTCAACACAAAAACAAATACAACATTCTTTACATTTTACTCTTTTGCAACATACACGAATTCATACATGCATTCTACAAACTTTGATTGATAATTATTGTACAATTGTTATGCAAACATCACGCCGGATTCTGAACGGTCTCATCCCGAGCCTTTGAGTCGCTCCCACGTCCCATTTTTGCTATTGTTTTTAGATCGTCCACGTGTCTTAGCGTGTTGGACCAGGCATACGTGTGTACTAGTGGGTCTGGTATCTGTTGATAACATATTTTGGGGTCAACAGATTGACGCCGTCTATGGAAAATCATACTATAATCACGAGCTACCATGTGGAGGAAGTTTATCAAAAAGAATATTTGGGTAACCCCCTTGAAAAAGGATTTGTTTTTGCAAAATAACAAGTGGAAGCCCTATAACTTAGCAACAATCTGAGATCGGAACAGAAGAGAATGAGTTCAGACGAGGATGTACCCCCTAGGAGGGTAAGAGAAAATGTGGAAATGCCCCCACCGATAGCTGCCCTACAGCTCGACATCGGCCTTACCACCACCACAAAAGAGGTGGCACGAGGATGACCGCTCAATTGTCAAGGGAAATGGCCACCATGGCCGCAAACATGAGGGACATTGCCAGTCAAAACATGGCCATGAGTTCTTTCATGGCCCAAATGTAGAGCCAATGAGGCTTTCCCATTCCTCCCTATGCACCCCAAGAACATTACGACAAAGATGAGAAAGTTCAAAACCAAAAGGCTGTATCGACAAAATACAGCCGAGGCAGGAGCCCCATGGAGGGGGAAGTAGAAGTTTATGTTTCCTCCAATTATACTGCTGGTCGACCCATCGATGCCCGGCATAACCAGGACAATTTTCCTCCAGCATATAGCCAGAACAAAGACCTAGGAGATCTAACAACATCTTTGATAGAATTAGCTCCGTAGAACCGAAACACAGGCAACAACAGTAACAACGCAAGCCTCGGAATAGACTACAGCTCCAGCCTCCAATGTCTCATCAGTCGTAAGAAAGGCATGAGAATGCCTCCCTGTTCTGCTCTGCCTAAAAATAGGCGCCAAAGGAGGGAAGAGGAGGCTAGGACCCAAGCTGGACCCTCTCATCAAATACCCAGGTATGAAGCCGAGGAAAATAATGACTCAGATGAGCAGCAGAGGCCTTGTGACTTGGACGACGACGATGAAAATCTGCCATTCTCAAGAGAACTAAGAAATACCCATGTTTCGAGCCACCAAAGTATG